GATGGCCATGTAATGTAACACTTTTAAGTTTAGTTTGTATGATCACCTTTTGATTTAAATTGACTTGTATAAACAAAATGTCATAAAATCTCAATTACATGTGGAATAGAGTTGTTGGAGCAAAATTATCAAAATTCCTCTTGGTCAGTTTGGGCCAAGGGACACGTTTATATGGCACTTTCATTAAAAAAACATGATTTCCCTGTATATTCAGTTTATAAATCTATCGATTTCTTGTTCATCGTACGAGCTACGTACTAGTTCACACGTGAAGCACCATAGAAGGACGCATAAAATAGTACATTTTTTTCAAGGATTCAAAGCTCCTAAGAAACACTACTAAACAAATCACAAGAATACTAATAATGCACCATCACACCAGGGTTTTTACACAACAAACCATCCCAATCTGTACAAAGTGAATCTATCCCCTCACGACCACTTTTAGGAAAAACCCTTCACCAGCAAGAACACTTAGCAGCACACAAACACGAGCAAACGGTGCACCTGCAAGACCATTTCTTGCACCAGCAAGTGCAGCTCGGGCACTTGGGCTTGAAACAGCAAGTGGGCCACTTGGGCTTTCGACACTTGGACCAGCATTTGGGCCACCAGCAGCAGCAGCAGCTCGTGATGCTGCAACTAAGGTTCGGGCACTTAGGGAATTTAGGACATTTAATTTTACAGCACCTGTTTGAGGTTTTTGTCTTCTTATGAAGCCGGATTTTTCCGAGCCTGGCTAGGGTTGTGATGTTCTCCATTTCTTGAATGAACTTGCACAAATGGCGGATATAGTCCGGGTAGAGCTCGAGATTACAGTGCCCTCCACCTTTTATCCATAAAGGCTCGTATGGCTCTCGAGCCATTTCCCATAATCCATTCCCGTGCAACCAACTCACGACATCATCCTCAGTACCCTGCAAATTATTACGACAATTTTCGATCACACGAAATAAATAAATAAATGTAGTTCACAAGTTTTTTTTTCGTTCTTTTTTTTTTACAAAATAGTAAATTGATTTCAAATATCTACATGTTTTTTATTTTGTATATTCGTGATACAGAGCAAATTAGCTTTTGTATGTATTTGAAATAAGAATTTACCAAAGGCTGATTTGCACCTTATATTATCAAAACTCGACTAACGGTCAGGAATTTATGCACTTTTTGGATAGCATCAGTTTTTCGTCACCATTGAAGAGCTGTATGCAGCTAAGTATTTCGTAAGATTCAACTCATGCAATCATAAAAGTATCTTTAGGTTTTGTTTCAATATGCGATTTTATATTTTCTTCCACACAATTCAATAATGTCAACACCAACTTGATGATGTTACCAATTACAGTGGGAAGAGGTCAAATTCTAAAAGAAAATTCATTTGGATTCTGAAAGGTATTATTGAAGAGTAAACAACTTTTAGACGGCCCGTGATAAACGAACCCCATTTTTTTATTTAAAAAAATAAAACAACTTTTTTATTGGCAATAGTGAGAGTTATGCCTCTAAAAAAGAATGTAGTTGAAAGGTCCTTATGGTTTCAGTATGTATCCAATATTCGAGCATATAACTTAGAACCAAATTCCAACACTAAAACAATCCTTTTTTTTTCGCATCAAGATATATTTAATACTTCAAATTTAAATGCTGTGGGGATTACATAAATCACTTACATGTATAACGAGCACGGGCGACTTCACTTTGCGGATTTTGTTTACATTCTGCATAGATAGATGAAGTTAGTAACTTGAAGTGACAGCAAACATAACTTTCTGAAGTTAATATTGTTCATATATCAATCTCATAGCTAATCCTAGTAATTTCTGAAATGTTTAAAAACAAATAAATAAATTTAAACACAGAGTCCTTTTAAATAAGGTCTAATAATATCTAACAGTCACGAATCTCGCTTAATAGGGATCAATGCCAACAAAAAAATCTACAAATCGGGTCATTAGATATGATGAGTACATAAATATGGAGCTAACCTTGTATATATCACAACAGAGAGTGAACTTCACATGGCAAAGCACTCGAAGGCCAGATAATATAGCACTATGCAGAACTACACCTCTCAACCTCGGCAACTGAGCTGCCAAATGCAATGTGGGCCCACTTCCAACCGATTGTCCGTATAAAATTAGATCTTCTTGGCTAATCCCATATTCGGTTTGAAGGCACTCATAGACAGCCTCTATATCAGCATATGTGTCATATTCGCTCGGCTGGATCATTCAAGAAAACAACTTTTTTTCAATTTAACCATAATAATTACCGGTTAAGAAATATCTGAAAGAAGTAGAATTATTCAATAACATTCCGGACATTAACTTATTCCGATTCAAAAGACCGATTTGGATTAATGTCGCTAATCTCTTCTTCTGTTTTTTTATGAAGAGTGGAAGGTGTACTTGAGTTTACCTTGCCAGTAGAAGCACCATAACCGGAATAATCGTATCTGCCCAAAACGAAAACATGGCAAACATAAATATGGTATAGTCACATTAATCTCCATCTAAATTGTACGAGACGAGCAGTACGAGTTGATAATTGACATTAAATACCGGATCCGATCCATAAAAGAAATGCAGATATCATGAAAGTTAAGAAAGAATCACAGCCCAGAAAGCACAAGAAGCCCCACAATTAAGCAGAGATTCACAAGATGTCACAATCCAAAGGCAGCATTTAAAATCTTTTTTTTCATCCGTTGCATAATTGAGTCACACCACTTATCGCTTTCACACAACAAGACAATAATGCAAAGTTACAAACATTAAACGCAGGAAAAAGACTATGAAACAACAACATAGCTTTAGGTTCTTGAGCTTTCATTCAACAAATGATGATTTATTATTACCCACTGGGCAATATTTGACAATTTTAACTCAATCAAAGACAAAAAGATTCAAAAAATAAACTTAGATGTTAGATCTAAGCCCACCCACCAATCTAAAAATCAAAACTTGGGGACCCTTTAACCCTAAAGAACCTAATCTTAACTTTACCAGAGAAAAAGTTGAACTGAAAAGGTAAAGAACACAGAAGCACATTTTGGTTAAGACATGAAAATCCTCAACATACAAAAGCTTACCAAAGCTAAGTTAAAAGTGACTATACCACTCCTCATTTACTTGCCCAGAACAAGAAATGGCAAAATTATAAGCAAAAAAAAGTTCAATCTGTTAAGCCAACATGAGAAAGAAGATTGAAAAAACCAAAACTTTTATGTCCTAAATGTACAAACAGCACTTGATATGATCGACAAGATTGTAATTTTCCCCCTTTTTTGGGCCCAATATGAAAACTCAGAGAAAATGAATTTAAGACAAAATTTGAATAAAAAACAGTCAAATCAACGGACCCAATAAGATTAACTCTGAGATTGGCTTTGAGCTGAACAAAGAGATCATAGAGCTGGCCCAGATCGGCCGCATTGCCATGAGAGTACAACACGGTAAGCCTAGCGTACGGGTTCCTCAGGTAAAAAGCTACAATCTTGTTGCCCCTTTTGGTCGGGATGGACAACACGTCCAAGGAAGAGTCGTCGACGGCTATCGGCAGAGACGACGCCGTCGAGACGGCCACCAGCTTGCCGTCGTCCCTCTTCTTCACCTGATAAGTCGCCGGCGACGGCGGGAAGAAAGCGAATTTGGCGGCCAGCTGAGATATCAGACAACCCATTTAGTCGCGATAACAAGAACCAATTACTGGGGTTCTTCTCTCTTGGCAGTGAGATTTGTTGAAACTCGAATAATTGTTAACAGTCGCCACCGGTCCACTTAACGGTCGGTGTCTAGAGATTCTGGTCATGAATGCATGTGCGCGAGTGTGTGATTGTTGTTGGTGTGGGTTGGTAAAGAAAAACTGTGTGTGTGTGTGTGTGTGTGTGTGTGTTTGAAGGTGGTTAGGAGTTGGAATTTTGCAAGGGGTTAGGACTGTGTGTGTTTGGCTAAATCTGTGTATGGGTCTCTGGTTCGAAGGACCTTGTGGAGAGAGAGAGAGAGAGAGAGAGAGAGAGAGAGATGGAGTGTTGTGGAGTGTGTGTACTGTGTGTGAGCAGGGTTTTTGGCTGTGGCCTGTCAAGGTGGAGTCTTGGAGCGAGAGAGAAAGAGAGAGAGAAATGAGAGAGGTTTTAATTGTCATTTATGATGGAGAAGAAAGATGAAGAGTTAAAAATAAAATTTCAAAGAAAATAATAAGGCTTTTTAGGCATAAATAATAGATAATTTAATTTTACTTAGAAGAATAAAAATAAGATTATTTATTTATTAAAAGAAAATAATAAGGCTTTTTTTAGGCAATTAATATTAATAGATTATTTAATTTTAATTATAAGAATAAAAATAAGATTATTTATTTATTTTGTGTGTGTATATAATATAAATGTCAAATCAAAGCAAATCGAGTCATTATTAGTTTTAGATACTATATATTAAAAATTGTTAATAAATAAAATATTTATTGACTTTTAAATATATTTATAATTAGTAAATTTGGTATAATTTAAAAAAAAAAAAATTGTGAGTACAAAGGAAATATTGATTGAGAACAAAAATATTCCTTATAAACCACTTTTACAATAGGATATGATATTAAAATATAACTAGTCTATATTCATATAATAAGAATTAACTTAAATTATTTTTAGTATTTTTTTCCCACCATTATGCATTAACTACATACTATAAAACATAATCTTAAAACACGTCTTAATTACACTCAATCAGTACATTAATTGCATCCTATATATCTTTTCCTTTTCCTTGAAATTTGGATTTGTTTTGCATTTCGAAATGGAAGACAGCTTTATTTTTTATTTTGATTACGGAGAAATTTTTATACACAATTCCTTTGTAACGTTTTCGATATTTCTTTGCTAAATATTTTGTTTACACGATTTGTTTAAAAATTTTAATTTCATATTCAGTTTTTATTTTTGGTTTTGCTTTCCGATAAATTCTGATATGCGATCCTTTTTTAATGTTATCGTTGTTTTTATGGTAAAGATATGATTTACACGGTTTGTTTAAAAATCTTAATTTAATATAATCCCTTTGTACCGATAAACACAATATTTTATCATGTCAATACAAATTATCACACTAACTACAGGCTATACAAATTATATCTCTTGTGGAATGCAACAAAATAAATTAAAAAGATTACATTTCCATTCTATGTATAAAATTATAATGATATAAATAAAAAAAATGTTAAAAATAAATAGATAATCACAAATCCATTATTTACAATAACAATTTTATATATCTTGATTTTAATATTTTTTTCATTTCAATCCATAAACATAATAATTTATCACTACAATACATATCATCACAATTTGGACAAACTAAATCACTTGTGGAACTTAACAAAATAATTTAAAATATTACATTTCCATTCAATGTATAAAATGACTGATATAGTAAACAAGATAATCACAAAATCCACATTATATGGTAACTGTATTTCGAAATTGCCATAAAACAAGTATTTTCACGAGATAAACACAGTCTTCGGTATCTATCACATCAATTTATAATATCCAAAATAATTTTTTCCATATTTCTTAATGATAAATGATATAAGTTGCTCTTAAAAATGAGTGTGGGGATTATAAATATCTTATCACAATCATACGAAAAAACACTTTATAGAACGTAAAAAAATATATAGTTCATCACTAAAAATTTATATTGTTTATTACTTAGTGACTCATATCATTCATTTTATAATATTTCACAAAATAATTATAGCTCGTGCATCACACGTTGAACGTACTAGTGCTCTTAAAAATGACCATAAATGTTCAACATTTTACGAATATTCTAAGTCCAGTTACTCTTACATAGAAAACAAATTGAAATTCATCTAAGTCAAATAACAAACAAGGCTTAAAAATTACCACATAGGATCACAAAATATGCGAGTCTATCAAAAGTTACGTACACTTGGAAATTATGTATGAGGATATACATTAAATTAACATATCATACTTAATAAAATAATATAACTAAAAAATATAACATTATATATGTATATATATAATGTATTGAACTATTAAAAGAAATATTGAAAAAATAAATTACTAAATATTAATAAAATGAACTTAAATAAATAAAAGGGGTGTCAGTAAGCACAGTGTGTGATGCTGGGTACAACTATTTATAGCAGAACAAGACACTTCTTGATAGTCAGACACAAAATTGCAATAATAATAATAACTCCATTAATATTCATTGGCAATGGTGAAAAAGCCCATCTTAGATATTACTCCTAGTAAATTTACCCAAATTGTAATTATTAAAATTATTTATTTTGGGCTTATTTATTATTATGTCACAGTTTTTTAATTGCCAGCCATTTTTTGGCTTTATTTTTATTTTATTTTTTATTTTGAATCTGCTTTCAATTTATTTTTTATTTTTTCCATATTTGTTGCCTCATAATAATTCATTGAGAGGAGATTCCCGATGATGCATAGAGAGTACAACACTTCTCGTGAGTCGCTCATAATTATATTAATTAGATTTAGATTTAGATGCGAAAGAGAGAGGAATTAATAATTTGTTTAAATAGCAATATCCAGTGAGATGTCTCACATGGGAAGTGAAAAAAAAATACTATTATTGAGAAATGCTACGATCTTCCGTACGCAACCATTCTGTCGTGATTTGTAATCATCATGTAAATGTGGGGAATAGTTGATTTAATAGTTACAAACTTCGACGAAATGGTTCCGTAATGAGACTGTAGTATCTCCCTATATTATTAATAACATGAAACAACTATTAATGAGATTATATAAGCGAGGATTGAGCAATAGGGTCGGTCCTAATTTTATAAAGCCCTGGGCGAAATGCGTTAAATGTTCTATTTGGTTGCTTTCAATTTTAATATATTTTTAATTTTTTTTTTTTTTTAATGAAACACATAATGTTACTAGTCATGATACAAGCAATTAAAATTTATAATAAAATTACAACTGAAATTCATAAATAAAATTTGAACAATATCTTAAGAATCACAAATCAAAATAAGGAATTAGATTCTTTCATTTTCTTTTCATCCATGGTGAAACTTTTATTTTTATTTTAGGTAATGTGATGTTAATAATTGATCTAAATTTATTAGTTAAATTTTTCAAAAACAAAAATAATTAATTATTTTATTTATATTTTTGGTGAAATGATATTAATAATTTGAGATAGCAATCATTTGCTAGCAATATTAATAAACTTATTGGTTAACATGCATATATAAAGTGAGCTTAAAGTTATTATTTAATACTGTTTTAAAAATAAAAATGAGTCTAAAGTTAGTTGTGCAATATAATGAAATTTACCTAGAATTAAATATTACTGATCAAGTATATACGATATTAAAATGATGAACAAATATATAATTTGTTGAGTTGTCATGCAAATTATTAGATTGTAAGAATTCAAAATATTTAATATATATAGTTACAAATTATGACAAACAATATAGTCAACTGTCGAACTGCCATGTAAATTAGAAGTTGAGAAAAAAATCATTCATAGTTTAAAAAATCATGCTAATAATATAAAAATATAAGTAAAAATTATTCAATGATCAAGTCAATTGTTTCCGTATTAAATATTAGATTATTCTTTTATCTCTGTTGTTTGAATTATTTTTTTTTTCTTTTTTTTTTTT